AAAACAAGACCCGTTCTATGTCAAATGATACAGAAATGGCACTGGCTTCCTACATGTTGACTGAGATACTTTTTACTGCAGAGCAAATTAAAAAGATATGCTCTCCCCACTTTTATTTTTATGCACTACTTTTAGTTCTGCGGAAATGAAAGCTATACTGAATTTACAACTTTTTACACACATAATCCTGTGCAAATTATGTAATCCTTTGTTTGAAGGATATTAACCCAACTTTCTAATATATTTTGTATATGTTTCGTTTTGTTTGTTTGAGACAAAGTCTCACTCTATCACTCAGGCTGGAGTGCAGTGATGCAATCACAGTTCACTGCAGCTTCTACCTCCTGAGCACAGGTGATCTCACCTCAGCTTCCCAGGTAGCTGGGACCACAGGCGTGCAGCACCATGCCTGGCTAACTTTTTGTGTGTGTATGTGTATATATATATACAATTTTTTTTTTTTTGTAGAGATGACGTTTTACCATGTTGCCCACATTGGATATTTTGTATACATTTCAAAAGGCAACTACAAAAATTGGTTTTTCATATTTCTACAAATATTGTACAGAATGTTTAATATCTTGTAAATATGGAAGCTGTGACAAATTTTTGTACTTAGAAAGTATGACAATCTGAAAATCAACATTTTACAGAAATGACACCATTCTGTTGAAACTGGAGTATACTGCACTTATATATCATTATTTCTAATATACACCTAATTATCAGAGAAATTAGTGCACTAAAGGACAGTGGTGGTTTTTAAAAATGATATCTTTGCTGTGGCAAGTTTGTCCTGCTCTGACCAAAGCAACATTTGAACCAACAGGCCCTTCTAATCTTACGCCAGCAGCACAATGGGATCAAGGCCAGGTTCTTGTGCAATTTGTGAAACCTTTGGTTTGCAGAGTGGTTAGCGTAGCGGCTTGGCTCATCAGTTCTGAGCATTTGAATATCTAATGTTTCAAACTGTTAGTCCTGTTCTGATTTATATTCATCCCTGCCATTCCTATTAACTTAATTACACCTGCCCACAACTTAATTTACTTGCCTTTGTTACTGCAGTTTGAACTCCAGCTACATTTTTCTAAGAAATTAAATTGCTAGGTTTTTAGAGCTGACTGCACTCTTCCAACTTCTCTACAAACTTTATGGTCTTTTTGGACTTTGCTTTTTAGTACATGTTGGGAACTGTTATGAAGTTTTCTTGCAGCACACTTGAAGTTAAATAGCTTTTTCCAAGTTTAATACAGTTTGATGGCTCTTCTTGGGGTGTAGATGGGTAGGGGCACTTGCATTGCCCGTTGGAGGAGCCTCTGCCTTCTGCTCAGCCACAAATCAGTGTGAATCCCTTTCTTTGACTGTTCCATCTTTCTCCATACCAAACCTAAATTCTTGATCTTCCACCTGTTCTCATTTCTTCTGTCCTATCTCTTGTTAAGACTCACAACAGCTGTTCCCCATGCTTTGCGTTGTAACATTCCACATGGTATTCCATAAAAGCCTGATATAGATGACCTCTCTATAACAGAACTGCAATTATTCTTGTCATGCTTCAGTTCTTTCTGTGGCTCTCCTCTGGAGTGTCTCCAAATTCTCCTGCTCAGTTTTAGCAAGCTGGCCTGGAGTTCTCTCCCAGGGTCTGGCTAGCATATTAATTTGCTTGTGGTTAAAAGCCTTTGTGCTCAGTACTGAGACGGTCACATAATGAATTTTCATTTCCATTTTATTCTGAACTTGCAAACTTCAGAGATTCATGCTATCTTCAGTGTTTAAATGGTAATGCCTTTTGTAAAATAAAGGACGCTGCAGGCCAGGCACGGTGGTGCATGCCTGTAATCCCAGCGCTTTGTGAGGCGGAGGCACGCAGATCACTTGAGGCCAGGAGTTCAAGACCAGCCTGGCCAACACGGCGAAACCCCGTCTCTGCTAAAAATAGAAAAATTAGCCAGGCATGATGATGCATGCCTGTAATCCCAGCTACTCGGGAGTCTGAGGAATGAGCATTGTTTGAACCCAGGAGATGGAGGTTGCAGAGCGCGGAGCCGAGATCACGCCACTGCACTCTAGTCGGGGTGACAGAGTGAGACTTTGCCTCAAAAAAATTTTAAAAAGCCTGTGGTTATTTTGATGGGATAGCAAGGATAACATGAATCATGTTAGGTTTGGCATAAATAGTTCATAGTTGACCTGGTCTGTGTGACTGTCTGAGGTGAGTCATCTGATGACCTTGACATGCTAAAGCATTGGAATGAATGTCTATAGATCGGACAGAGGTGGCTTCAGAGAACTATTTAGGAGACATCTGGGGAGGAGTTGTGGCCAACAATGATGACAGGTGAGCAGTGGGGAAAAAAGCCAGGATTGCAAGGAGTTAAAGATCACCCATTCAAGAAGTCTGGCAGAAGGAGCAACCCAGGAAATGTATTCATTTAGTGGCAGTCAGAGGTAACAATATAAGAAAAGCATTCTGAGTCTTCTTTTAGGCAAACTGAAATTTGCCATTAGAGAAGAAGGGAGTTCTTTGTTTTTTGTTTGTTTTAGGGACTATTTAAAAAATAAGAACATTTCCGTCTTATGAGTTAAGGCAGCACTATCCAATAGAATTTTCTGTGTTGATGGAAATAGTCTACATCTGTGCTATCCAAGTATGGCGCTATAAGCCACATGTAGCTATTTAAATTTAAATTTAAATTAATTAGTGTGACTACTGAGCAATTGAAACGTGGCTAGTATATCTGAGTTGAATTTTGATTAATTAAAATTTAAATTTAAATAGCTACATGTGGCTGGAGTCTACCGCATTAGACACCTCAGAGTTCAAGTTTTACTAACGAGACTAGCAGATTAATGTCAAAATATTAATGTCTTAAAACAATAAAAGTGTATTATTCAACTGTATCACATCCAAACCGATCAGGGCTAGGGTGTAGGAAGGACAGCATTCTGCTCTGTCTAGTCATTTGGAACACTGGCTCTTCTATCTTGTGTGGTGCCATCTTCAACCTTGAAGGGTGCATGTTGGAGGGGAAGAGAGAGAATGTGAAGAATCTCTTGAGAAGTGTTATGGGCCATGTCTGGAAATGGCCTACATTACTTCAACCCATATACCCATATGCTAATAGTTACAAATAAATGACATGGCCCTACCTAACTGCAGGCTGAAAGAAAAGGAACCAGGTTTATGGACACATAACATTACCCTGCCACACTGAAATTTGCAGAGTTCTGGGATCAGTCTCTAATACCTCCTCCATAAGGAAATGGAAATAAATTTTAATCAGTGTGCTAAGGGAGTAAATCTGGTTCAGTTCTGGATGTGAGGAAGAGACTGAAGGATCAAAGTGGGGCAATGGGGTTCAACACGGGGCAGGGATCAGGAGGAAGAGATGGAATAAATAATAGAGGGCAGAAAAAAGTTGGTATTTGCTGATGGAGAACCACTTCTCGGAAAGAGAAACAAAAAGAAACAAAGTGTGAGAATAGAAATTTTGAGGTGAAAAGGAGAGAAATTCAAGGTTCTTAGGTTAAATCACTTTGTCTGCTCTGAGGTTATTTGCTTATTATGACAAGCCTTTGGAAGATGTTTGGATAGGTGCTTAAAATTAGAAGAAAAGACCCAAACAGGTACTGTAAAGAATGCCTTAGGCATGCATTGTAGAATCTGGAAGGTATTTGTTTCAGACTAATCTGGTAATCCAGATATTTCACAGAAAGTGTCATGTAAATTCAAATATGTATCTTCTTTTTCTCTTGATAAATATCCCTATGGTAAGCCATGGAGTTCTGTTAATCTTCTGTTTGACCAAATAACTAGGCTTGGAAATTTTAACTTAACCTTTTTCCTTTTACCACAATTAAGGTGCCAGTATAAGAGTAGAGCATTAAAGTTAGTAAGTATATTAACATGCAACCATTTTAAGAAAAATCAGATGAATAGAGAATACTGAAACTAGTAATTCGTATTTTGACAGCATCAGTTGAACTGTCAGCACAGCAGAAAGTTTGAGAGTAGAATTATTTCTCAAATTAACATTGAACTTAAACCGGGAAGAAAATACAAATGTTCTTTGTTGGAGAAATTATAAAATCTTGCAATTGCAACAAACAGCCTCACAGTTTAGTAGTATCTTGTGTATTTGCCTTCCACTCCTTACTCTACTGCTACCTCAGCTTCCTCTCTATCCATGTCATTAAAGAACTCTCTTAGAAAAATTCATAATTTAACATGAACTGAGGTGGGATGGGGTGGGAAGGCAATGCCTCACTTTACATAGTTCATTTCCTTTTTAATGTGCCCAGAAAAAATTTCTCCCAGATTCCCATTCTCGATTCATGTAGTTGAATGAGGATGGCTGACTCCTAGGCTCCAAAGGTGACCATAGACTCAAGTGTGGACAGAGTATTCTATTCTCCTGCCCACAATGACAGGCACATGAACCAAGAAAGACAAATCAAAAGCTGTCCTGGATATGTGTGTGTGTGTGTATGTGTGTGTGCGTGCCTGTGTGTATGTGTGTGTGTATATATATACATATATATATATATAGAGAGAGAGAGAGAGAGAGAGAGAGTCTTGCTCCGTTGCCCAGGCTGGAGTGCAATGGCACAATCTCAGCTCATGGTATGGTAGATGTTTAATGTTTGAATGTATAATAAATGCATACAATGGAATACTATGCAGGCATTTATTTATTTATTTATTTTGAGACAGAGTCTCGCTCTATCACCCAGGCTGGAGTGCAGTGGCGCGATCTCGGCTCACTGCAACCTCCGCCTCTGGTTCAAGCAATTCTCCTGCCTCAGCCTCCTGAGTAGCTGGGACTACAGGTGCCTGCCACCATGCCTGGCTGATTTTTGTATTTTCAATAGAGATGAGGTTTCACCATATTGGCCAGGCTGGTCTCGAACTCCTGACCTTGTGATCCACCTGCCTTGGCCTCCCAAAGTGGTAGGATTACAGGTGTGAGCCACCACACCCAGCCTATGCAGCCATTTAAAGCATGATAATGTGGAATTGTTTATTGACATGTAAGGTTACCCATAATATAATGTTATATTTTAAAAATCAAATAATAAAATAGTAGCTATACTATGATCCTGTTTTAATAAAAAAGAATAGCCATATATACAGATACATACATCAAAATGTTAATAGTGGAATGATTTTTTATTTTATTGGTTAACTCTTTGTATTATCTGAAATTTTACAATAACAGCATTTATTTGACCTATTTTTTTTTTTTTTTAAGAGACCAGGTCTCACTCTCTCACCCACACCGGAGGATAGTGGCACAATGACAGCTGACTACAGCTTTGAACTCCTGGGCTCAATTGATCCTCCTGTCTCAGCTTCCTGAGTAGCTGGGACTACAGATGCACACCACCACACATGGCTAAGTTTTTTTTTTTTGGAGACAAAGTGTTGCTCTGTTGCCCAGTCTGGAGTGCAGTGGTGTGATCTCTGCTCACTGTAACCTCCACCTCTCGGGCTCAAGCAATTCTCCTGCCTCAGCCTCCCAAGTAGCTGGGACTACAGGCGTGCGCCGCAAGGCCCAGGTAATTTTTTGTATTTTTACAAAACCGTAGAGACGGATTTCACCATGTTGGCCAGGGTGGTCTTGAACTCCTGACCTCAGGTGATCTGCCCGCCTTGGCCTCCCAAAGTGCTGGAATTACAGGTGTGAGCCACCAGGCTAATTTTTAAAAAAAAATTTTTTGAGATGGGATCTCACTATGTTGCCCAGGCTGGTCTCAAATTCCTGGCCTCAAGGGATCCTCCTGCTTTGGCCTCTCCTATATCTGGGATTACAATTACAAGTCATCACACCTGGCTGATGTATTCTTTCCTGATTTTAAAATTATTTCCATTTTGAGAAAAACCAAGTAGATACTAAAACAACCTTTTTTCTGTCACAAAACTTCACTTAAACAACTAATTTTGGCATACAGTTTTCAACTGGACAATATTAGAAACAACATGGATTTCCGAATGCAAATTGAAATGTTGGTTACATTGATCTTGATGCTATTTCTGATTAAAGTAGACCTTTAGCAAAATGATCATTATCAAACCTTCATTTCTATATAAAATTTCTTATTTTTTATATCCATAATTACTATTAGATTCTTCCTTCTCCTCTTATTTACATTCTTACCCAGGATATGAAGAATGGAATAGACCTTAATTTCTTATCCTATTTTTTAGCTAAAAGTTAAAAGGAAGTAGATTTCTGAAATTAAAAAAAAAAAAAAAAAGAAATGTCAGTGGCTGCTACCTTTAAAGTACCTTCCTTACATGAGGGAAGTTTGCAAAGGTGAAGGTCTTTCCCAAGAAAATACCAAACCATTACCAAAAATCTAAAAGTATATCCATTTCAAACGAACACCTTTAATAGACTGGTTATAAAACTATAATTGGACATTTTTAAGGCCAGTTTATACTTTTCCCTTTTCAAAGACATTAATTAATATAAATAAGACATTTACAGATGATGTTCTCTATACAGAGCAAGAATATACTCTTGGATATCTCCAAAGAGAAGTATAATTGCACTTATTTTATACAACAATTAGCATAACAGGGAAATGGGAAATATTTTTGCATATAAATTCCATTTCTTAAGTATAATTAAAAAGTGTCATTAAGAGTCAGTTAAAAAAAATAGGGCATATACTGTCTGTATATGGCTACCTGTCTTTTAGTAACATTAATTTTGTTTTTTTGTTTTTGAGACAGAGTCTTGCTCTGTTGCCCAGGCTGAAGTGTAATGGCATGATCTCAGCTCACTGCAACCTCCACCTCCCAGGTTCAAGCGATTCTCCTGCCTCAGCCTCCCAAGTAGCTGGGATTATAGGCACCCACCAGCACACCTGGCTAATTTTTATATTTTTAGTAGAGGCGGGGTTTCACCATGTTGGCCAGGCTGGTCTCGAACTCCTAACCTCAGGTGATCTGCCCACCTCGGCCTCCCAAAGTGCTGGGATTACAGGCGTGAGCCACCACGCCCTGCCTAATTTTGTTAATCTTGCCAGTTTCAAGTCATTGACACAAAAATGTCAGCACCGTATTAAGAAGTCACACTCTGACCTATAAAATGTGACAGCCCCAGGAGAACTATTACCCCATTATTCATTTTCAGTAAAAAGTCTAATAGAACAGTGACAAATATTGTACCTTAGATCCTTAATCATATGATACAAATCATTTACAATACAAATTGTAAAGATGAACATGTGCTGGCACAGCTAGGGTTTACATACTCTTTGGAAGCTCAAAAAGTTCAAGAATGTCTTATCGGTCTTCATTTCAGATCTAGTAGCATAAAAGCTGGGTTTTCTAAGTAGGATTTCCACAAATTAGAGAAGCGTGACATTGTAGCACCATCAATAACTCTGTGATCAGCTGACCAGCTCACATTCACTATCTGTGCCTTATATACTTCTCCTTTCTGGTTAAATCGGGGAATGGCCTAGAAATAAAAAAAAGAAAAAAAAAAACAAAGAGTAAACCCTCACTTGCTCAAAGCTCAAGCTCTAACAATGGTGTAAGATCAAGCAAACCTTTCTTCCTACAGTAGAGAAAAAAATGGGCATCCCCAATGACTTTTGAAAATGCTGACTCCTATTCTTCCCATCTTCGAGTATGTGCCTGGAGCTTTCAGAAGTTCTCCAAGGTACTTCCTATCCCTTGTACAATTCCTGTACCTACATTCATTAACTTTCATCTCAGATTTCAAATATTTAATAATTTTTTACTGTATACCCACTATGTGCCAAGTACTCTTCTGGGCTCTGGGGAGAGACAGACAATTAAATAAGGCTTCCTCACTGAAGGCAGTGAGGAAACAAGCCATTCTCAAGCTTCCCTGACCACTGAGTTGGCCAGGAAGAAGACAGAGGACAACAACATGCTTGTGTTCTTCGTGGATGTTAAAGCCAGTAAGCACCAGATCAAACAGGCTGTGAAGAAGCTCTATGACACTGATGGGGCCAAGGTCAACACTGTGGTCAGGCCTGATGGAGAGAGGAAAGCATATATTCTGTTGGCTCCTGATTACAATGCTTTGGATGTTGCCAACAAAATTGGGATCACCTAAAATGAGCCCAGCTGGCTAATTCTAAATATGTATCTTTTCACTGTTAAAAAAAAAAAAAAAAAGGATAGACAAAATATAAGCCCCAACTGATTATTAGATTCAATAGACATAAAATCATGCTGTCAAACTGCTATAAAAGTTTCTAAGCCCTACTCTGTTTTTCTATACTGATCTCCTCATGGCTGGGATACAACAGTCACAGCCAGATGTGGATCCCTGATGACACTAAGTAGCATTGTGTAAAGCCATGTAGGCCACTGCAACTACTTGTCTTTGATTCTGAATGAGATGAGAAGCCCTTAGAAGTGTCTGAGCAGATTGGCCATTCACTGAAAGAGGACGACTTTAGGAGAAGCAGGTCTGATGGAGGGGGTGGCAGTGGGGAAACGAGCAGGAGCTCAGTTTTAGACATGCTAAAATTCAAGATGCCTTTACACATCCAAGCAAGATATGAGAGTTTAAAGCTCAAAAGTGAGGTCTGGTCTAGAGATATAAACCTGGGAGTCATCAGTGTATAAATGGTATTGAAAGATCAGATAAAGAAAAGGGGTGAGAACTGAATCCTGGGGTGCTTCAATGTGTAGAGATTGGGAACATTAGAAGGTATGGGTAAAGGAGACTTAGAGAGAATAGGCAGTGACATAGGAGGAAAACCAAAATGGCCAGGTATGCTGCACGTCAACATTAAGAATGTTTTCCAAAGAGGTTGGATTGATCAATCATCTCAAGGTCAACTAGTAGGTCAAGGAAAACAAATACTGAGAATTGAGTAACATGGAAGGCTTAATGACTTAAATAATTGAGCAAGAAGGAATTAAATTCTATAATGAAAACAAAATAGCAAAGGAAAGATGATACAAAGGGAGAAAGGAATTAAATACTATTTGTCCCTATCCAACAAATATTATTTTAAGTGATGAATAAGATTTCTTCTCTCAGAACTATGCTTCATGGCTTGAAAAAACCAGGATAAAATGATTTTGTAAAAATATATCTATTGAACAGATATTTATAAATCAAATATTCTTTTGTTCATAGCAGCATTATACATGAGAGCCAAAAAATGGAAATAATCCAAATATTGATTGACGGATGAATGGATAAACAAAACACGGCATATATTTATATAAAATAGTATATTATTTACCCTTAAAAATTAATGAAATTCTGATACATGCTACAACATGAATGAACCCTGAGCCAGATACAAAAGGACAAATACTGTATTGATTCCACTTACATGAGGTACCTAGAATAGTCCAATTAATCCATAGAGACAGAAAATAGAATGGTGGTTACCAAAGGCTTGGGAAATGGAGAGATTATTCAGTAAGTGCAGAGTTTCAGTTTGGGATAATGAAAAAGTTCTGGAGACAGATGTGGTGATGGTGGCAAACAATGTAAATGTACTTAATGCCACTGAACAATATACTTAAAAATGGTTTAAATGGTCAAGTTATGTTTATATATTTTACAATTATATACATATACACATATAATTCAGAGGATAAATCTCTTTAAGGAAAGAGAACACAAAATTTTGTCAAACAGGTATAATGGTTTGGAAACTTCAGGAAGCCAGAATTTTTTGAGAATCAAATGTTGAATTCTTGTTGGAAAAGAGAATGAGTGATAGAAGTTATCACTCAGAGAACTCCTGATTTGGAAAGAATAGTGACATACTGTGTGTTTTTGGTTTTCTCTCCCTATCTTTCCTCTGCTTGCCAGAAGGGTAAGTGGATGCCAGAAAGGGGGAATGACTTAGATGCTAATTTACTATCTGCTAGAAAGCAAATCAAAGGCTGAAGGGAAGCATTTGTAAGGGTTCCAACATGCAAGGAATAAACTCATGAGGACAAGTCCCACAGACGTTCAACATGGAAGCATTGTAAGTACAGAAAAGAAAGGCTCTTCTTAAAATACACTCTCCCTAATGTAGTGACAATGACATTTAATAAACATGGTATTGAAGTGGTATCCAGGAGCATATTTGCCTCAGTGGTCCTCAACCCTGAATTAATAGGGGTACCCAAGTCCCATCCCCCAAAATTCCAATTCAGTTGGTAGAGGGGAAGCTTGGCCAGAATTTTTTTCAAGCTCCCATATGATTCTAACATGTAGCCAGGGTTAAGAATCATTGCAACCCTTATTCTAAGTCCGTGTCTTCTAAACCACTGTCACCTATCACCTTTTCGTACTCATTTGGGTTCCTGTTCAAAATTTAAGTTCTGAGGGTTCCGCCCCTAAGGTAAAGAAATCTGCACTTTTAACTAACACTCCCAATGATTCCTGAGCAAAGAATGCTCTAAATGAGTCTCACTTTGTTTAAAATAACATTTTGAATTAGTTTTCTATTATTCTTTGGTATAATGAAATAAAGGTATTTTGATAGAAGTAGACTGGGTATATTTGTGATTATTCATAAAGACTCAATATCTGTGCCTGGCATAATCCACAATGGTTGATCCATACAGAAACAACCCAGATCGCCACCATTTATTACACATAGAGGTAGCCACCAGAAGTGCAGGCCTAGCTCTTAGGAAGAAATAATAGGTTTTTGGATTCCTGGGCAGGATGGCCGAACAGGAACAGCTCCGGTCTGCAGCTCCCAGTGAGACCAAGGCAGAAGATGGGTGATTTCTGCATTTCCAACTGAGGTACCCAGTTCGACTCATTGGGACTAGTTAGACAGTGGGTGCAGCCCATGGAGGGCCAGCGGAAGCAGGATGGGGCGTCACCTCACCTGGGAAGTGCAAGGGGTCAGGGAACTACCTCCCCTAGCCAAGGGAAGCCATGAGGGACCCTGCTGTAAGAGATGATGCTATCCAGCCCAGATACTGTGCTTTTCCCATGGTCTTTGCATCCCACAGACCAGGATATTCCCTCGGATGCCTACACCACAGGGGCCCTGAGTTTCAAGCACAAAACTGGGAGGCTGTTTGGGCAGACACCAGGCTAGTTGCCTTTTTTTTTTTTTTTTTTCCCATACCCCAGTGGTGCCTGGAACACCAGTGCGACAGAACTGTACACTACCCTGGAAAGGTGGCTGAAGCCAAGGAGCCAAGTGGTCTTGCTCAGTGGATTCCACCCCCACAGAGCCCAGCAGGCTAAGATCTGCTGGCTTGAAATTCTCGCTGCCAGCACAGCAGTCTGAAGTCGACCTGGGACGCTCGAGCTTGGTGGGCAGAGGGGCATCCACCATTACTGAGGCTTGAGTAGGTGGTTTTCCCCTCACAGTGTAAACAAAGCCACAGGGAAGTTTGAACTGGGCAGAGCCCACAGAAGCTCGCAAAGCCACTGTTAACCAGACTGCCTCTCTAGATTCCTCCTCTCTGGGCAGCCATCTCTGAAAGAAAGGCAGCAGCCTCAGTCAGGTGCTTATAGATAAAACTCGAGATGGGACAGAGCACCTGGGGGGAAGAGGCGGCTATGGGCACAGCTTCAGCAGAATTAAACCTTCCTACCTGCCGGCTGTAAAAAGAGCAGTGGATCTCCCAGCGCAGCACTTGAGTTCTGCTAAGGGACAGACTGCCTCCTCAAGTGGGTCCCTGACCCCATTCCTCCTGACGGGGAGACACCTCCCAGCAGGGGTTGACAGACACCTCATACAGGAGAGCTGTCGCTGGCATCTGGCAGGTGCCCCTCTGGGATGAAGCTTCCAGAGGAAAGAGCAGGCAGTAATCTTTGCTGTTCTACAGCCTCCACTGGTGATACCCAGGCAAACAGGGTCTGGAGTGGACCCCCAGCAAACTCCAGCAGATCTGCAGAAGAGGGGCCTGACTGTTAGAAGGAAAACTAACAAACAGAAAGCAATAGCATCAACATCAACAAAACGGACGACCATGCAAAAACTCCATCCGAAGGTCACCAACAGCAAAGACCAAAGGTAGATAAATCCACAAAGATGAGGAAAAACCAGTGCAAAAAGGCTGACAATACCGAAAACCAGAACGCCTCTTCTCCTCCAAAGGATCACAACTCCTTGCCAGCAAGAGAACAAAACTGGACGGAGAATGAGTTTGATGAATTGACGCAAGTAGGTTTCAGAAGATGGGTAATAACAAACTCCTCCGAGCTAGGGGAGCATGTTCTAACCCGTGCAAGGACGCTAAGATCCTTGATAAAAGGTTAGAGGAACTGCTAACTAGAATAACCAGTTTAGAGAAGAACATAAATGACCTGATGGAGCTGAAAAACACAGCACAGGAACTTTGTGAAGCATACACAAGTATCAATAGCTGAATCGATCAAGCGGAAGAAAGGATATCAGAGATTGAAGATCAACTTAATGAAATAAAGCGTGAATACAAGATTAGAGAAAAAAGAATGAGAAGGAACAAACAAAACCTCCAAGAAATATGAGACTATGT